TTATTGAAATTAGGTCATTTTTGCATACTTGATATGTGCCGATTTTCCACCTGCAATAGATAACATACATTAGATGTATAAAGGTACTATAATTATATGAAAAAATATTATCCTAATTATGTCTTCATTTGCATAATTTGCAGTTATTTATGTACATCTCTCTCTTTGAGCTACACACCAAAAATGATGAAAATACACTGTTCCTTTCTGGATTTTCTGGAACAGCTTTAAAAGATTTTGCTATGAAGTTCCCTACAGTTACAGAACAAGCTGCTAGGAGGACAAAGGTCACGCCACTTATTCCTGACAGAAAAAGCTCCCAAAATGATCTGTCCCCAAAAAGTCAAGATCATAGAATGTTTAGAAAAAAGATACAAAAATCGTAAGTTATGCTGCAGTACCAAGGTCAGCCACCAGGAAGCCCATATTTGACCTTGGACTTTGTCTTCCTAAAACCTTTTAACATACCAAATATTATCACAACCAATAAAGGCCTGCTTAAGCTGTGCTGATAACAAAGTTGCGGGAACACACACACACAGACACGCCAAAAACAATACCTCCATTCTTCATGGGGGTAAAAAAAACAAGATTTCATACCTCCATGAAATATATGAGTCTTTGTAAATATTTTTTTTATTTGTCTCATTGACAATGGAAATAAGGTCATGATCAGCATAATCTAGTTTAATTTATGGTTTTGTAAATTCAAATGACAATATTTTATATTGCAAAATTCCTCTACTTTGTCATACTTCATTTCAACATGTCCTCATTAATTATGCAAATGACCTCAACATTAACATAATATATGCATAGTGGTGTTAACCTCTAAGTAAGTATAAAATTCCCATTCACCAATAAGGAGTCACAGAATTTTCACATTAATTATGCATATTAGGTTATCATTTGCATAATTGGTATCTATTGATGTTGTGCCTGCTACAGATTAAATAGATTACATCTATAAAGTACTATTATATAAAACACTAATTATAGCATTTTCACATTAATTATGTAAATTAGGCCCGCATTTGCATAATTTGCAATTAATTATATGCAACTCTCTCTCAGTAACCTACACACCAAAAATGATGAAGATACGTTGTTCCTACCTGGACTTATTGGCTTTTAAAATTTCGCCAGAAAGTGACCTGCAGTTCCAGAACAAGCTGCTAGGGGGACCAAACCCACACCACTTATTCCTGACAGAGTAAGCTATCTGTCACCCAAAAGTCAAGACCATAGCATGTTCAGGACAAAAGATACAAAAACTGGAAGTTCTGCTGCAGTACCAAGGTCATCCACGAGGAGGCCCATATTTGACCTTGACCCTCGTCTTCCTAAGACTTACCAACATACCAAATATCATCACAATCCATAAAGGCGTTCTGAAGTTATGCTGACTACATATGTGCGGAAACACAAACACACAGACACACACACACACAGACACAGACAGACGCGCCAAAAACAATACCTCCATTTTTCATGGAGGTAATTAAAAAAGAAAACTGTAGGATGCAACTACACACACACGCATGAAACATACGTACACACAGACGTACACACATACTAAAGATCTAAATAAACAAACAAACAAACAAACAAACAGACACACCTTCATAAATCATTAAGTACCGACCTGTGTTATGGTAGTAGACACAGCCAGCACAGTAACAGTGAGCTGCAGTGTTCCCACACCAGTTGCCCGAAGAGCAACATGGCCAGGTACTGTTAGGGTCACACTCAGCGGTCCTCCCGTCTCCTGTAGTGTAGCCGTCTCCACAGCGGAGATCGTCCCGCCATTTCTGAGTAACTATCAGGAAAAAAGAAAACAACAGTAGCGCGATGTTTGTGGCGATCAAATTCTTGAAACACACGAAACACATCAAAGCTCACTGACTTCTTCGAAGGGTCCTAGGCGATTTCAGCATAACTCGATCGCTACAATGTTCTAGCTGCGTTCAGGCACAAACTGGATTCATGCAGGGTAGGTTTTACTCTCTGAGGAATTTTGAAACTAGCTTCTGGAGTGGAGTACTATGCTTTAACCTCTCCTACCAACAAATAAACTTTCGTCCTAGTCTCACCTTCGCGTTGTGAGGTGTTGGAGACTGCTGAGAACATGAGGACAGAGCTGACACCTCCAGTTGGTACAGAGGTAAGAGTATAGACAGTAGTAGTAGTAGTAGAAGTCGTCGTAGTAGTAGTATTACCAAACTGTATTGGAAGAATGAATAGTTCTTGAATTGCCCTGATGAAGATGACAGACGGTCATCGAAACGTCGGATCGTAAAAAAAATGAATGGTTGTCATCAAAGAACTTTGCTATTCATTCGTTTACCGACCTGAAGAAATTTTTTTACGGATGTATTAAAAGAACAAGTGAAGTAAGGTATTGCCTAATTCTAAAGGATCCTGCAACCTTGTGTGCACAAGGTTTTGTTTTCGGCCTGTGTCTCTCTGTCTCTCTGTCAGCCAGCTTAAACTCTGACAACAGCTGACAACAGTAAACAAACCCTACTTTTGACCTAAGTTTTCCATGTATCCATCCGCCCTGGGCAGACAAGACCTCATCACTCAGGTTTCTCATTATACCCACTAAACTGGTAATATTTTGAGGGAAAAGGGATTTTCAAACATATTAACTAGAAATACAACCCTTTTAGGACCTCTACTGCTCTTAGTGGCGTCGGGTGGTGTAGTGGTTAGAGCAATCGACTATGAACCGGGGAGACCCGGCTTCGATTCCGAGTCGTATTGAGGTCACCTTGTGGCGCCGAATGACAGGCGCACAGACCCTTGCGACAGTTCCACAATAAAAAATTGTGGAACAAATATGTGTATCATGTGTAATATTTGATTGTT